TCTTTAAAATACATTCAAAACGTTTAAAAATAAACTACAAAAATTAATTTAAAGTGCAAATTAAATTGTATCTGCAACTGTATTTGATAATGTTTTGAACTTTTAAAATATTGTATGGTAAAAACAGAAGCTGCACTTCATATTAGTGACAAACTGGTGTTTTTTTGACGAGTTACTTTCATTTTTGCTTCTACTTTTAATTTAAAATAGGTTTTCATTCTCAGCAGATTTCTAAGGTTCTTCTTCTACATATTAAAAAGGTTGTTAAACAACTGAGTGGCGCACTACTGCTGCTAGTGGTGAGAAAGTGTATTATTCAAAATCAATGCAGTCCCACRGCCCTCTGCAGGCCAAAGTTAAAAACTGTTGTTCTTTTGAGGCCCTCAAGGGCCCAATGGGTTAAGAATATCTGTTTTAAGGCACTAGTTTTATTATTTTTTCCTGGTCTTGTCTCGACTTGGTCCAGCCCCTACAAGTCTTGGTCTTGCCTTGATCTTGATATACTCTGGTCTTCTTCTTGACTCACTCTCAGGTTGAGTGGTCTTGACTACAACAATACTAAATATTGTCTTCTTACAATTAAATCATTACCCGCAGTCAGTTTTATATAGTATTTTCAGCAATGGTTGTTATGGAGTTAGAGTAAAAAAAGTGAGAAGGCCTGAAAAAAAAAAAAAAACAAGGCTACATCATGATCATTTGGAACAAAATAATAAAAAAGGAATAAAAATGACAAATGGAACAACATTAGAAGAGTGATGGAGAGTACGCACGGCAAACTGTCAAACTTCTGAATTATTGTGTAGTGCTTTGGACTCACTCAAGTCTCCTTATCTTGACAAAAAAAAGGAAGTTTTCAATTTGAATAAGCCATTTGAGGGCTACAGCTTGTATAAGGAGGAAGAGATGGAGAAGGAAAAAAGGGAGAGGCAGAAAAGGTAGGGGGGGATTACTGTGTGACATTTGACAGCAAAAAAGAAATATGGTAGGAAGAATGACAACAGTTAAAAGGATGCCATATTGAGAAGAATGATGAAACCAAAATCAAAAGGAGAAAATACTGTAGTCATAAGAAAGAGAGCGTGTGCTCGTATGAAGTGTTATGTAATGTATTATAGAATGTACATGAGGTGGAGCGCTGCCATCCTGCCTGCCTTTTGGGTATAAAAGGAAATAATGACACTGATATAGAATTTTTTGTCTGCTACTAGATCATTTCCTCCAGTGCGAAGGCACTTCTGAATTTCCATTATAGCTAAATGATCTAATTTGGGTATTAAATTACAAATGACCATGTTCTAAACAGCCCTAACAGCCTAAAATGACTAACCTGCAGTGGGCGATGATGGGTCCGGCATCAGGCGGGTTACAAGTCTTCACCCTGCGGAGGAAGGCTAAGAAAGGGGTCGGGTACTCGGGCACACCGTGGTCGGGCCACGCCGTGAACTGGAACTGACGAACCTCCCGCTTCTCGCTTGAGCCGTTCTGGAGAGAAACGTTAGACAGTTAGCAAAAAATATGCCTTTACAAGCAGACCTACAGTTTTGCACATTATTTTGAAGAAACATTTATATTTTCTAGTCATTCATCCTGATTTCTTTTTTTTTTCAGCTTTATAAACCTTCTGTAACCTCTTTGACTAAAAGCGCTGCAGCTTTGCTTTGTTTAAAGAAAAACAAAATAGGTTCAGTGTTGACTATGATGTCATCCTTATCTTAAACTGACCACTGACAGTTATTTTTCAGCTTGCATTTTAAATCAACACCTGGATTGTTAAAACTACGGGATGTGATCCAGAGAAAGATGAATTTTTCTGTAGCAGAAGAGAGAGAGAATTAAATATCCCTCAGATCGTTTCCGTCCTCCACTCCTCTCTTTACTCTCATAAGATCATTTTATAGAGGGACTGTTTGCTTTTCAGTGCAGCGCTTCTGCTTTTCCTGACTGAGGGAACATTTTCCTTGCTGAATAAATGAATAAACGAGTGTGGTAATTAAAAGCAAACTGACCTAGTTCTTCTATCTCTTTTTTTATTTTTGCTTTTGACATTCTGCGTTTCTGCAGCCGAGGTAGGCTATGAGAACAGGACTAATTTCTAGCCGCTGTTTTTTTTTTATCCTTGAGAATTAATTTTCTTATTTAAAGGATTTGTCAGCAGATACAATTCAGCATCACTGTAGGATGAACATATACAGTAGTCGGGTGGCCCAGCAGCTGCTTTGCAGATGCAGTGTGCATTGTTGCTGTGTTTTTCCTGCTTCTGCTCCCTTTTTTATTACAATAAATCCAGTAAAGTGGGAACCGCTGAGTGAGAAATCACAACAACAGCTCTGCATTGCAAAGAAGAAGAAGAGGACAGACAAGAAAATAACTGTACCAGTGGGTTTATTAGAGACCCTCCGAGCAGCAGAATGAAAAGAGGCCTGAATGTCAACCTGCAAGCTTTATGGCTGCTGATGTGTTTCTGTCGTTACGTCACCGGCTCAGCTTGGCATTCATCGTTTTACTGGCCATCCAGCTTAAAGGAGACGTAAATCCTTCTTTTTTCACATTTAAATCATTCATTTGGGGTCTATATAAATTGGTCTATATAAATGCTTTGGTCTGAATTCCTTCATATTGTTACTCTAAAAGCCCCTCTTTCAACCCTGTTGTCAGAACTTATTTGGCAAATATGTTTCCATCTCCCCTTTTGCGCATCAACTTTTTTTCATAAAATCCAAAAACCACGAGCGAGCATAAGAAAAAGGTGTCAACAAGGGAAGACTTGTCCGTCCAGCCTTACATGTTGGAGCCAGAGTCTGACCCAGAGCCAGAGGATGAAGACCACCAAACTGTAGTTGGTAAGTCCAGACTTATTAAGAAGTCGCAAACTCTGTGATGTAATAGTTTGAAAAACGTCATAAAAATAAAGAAAACTGAACAGACTGAAAAATATCAACCAAAGAAAATTTAAAGATATCTTTGCAGCACCGGGAGAGACTCAATTAAATTTTTCTGCACTCCTAGAGACTMCKAGGACACAACAAAATGCATTTATTGACAAAATAAAGTGGATTTTGCATGATATGCCCCCTTATTTGTCAGCTGTGCGTTTACCTTAGTGCTACATGATGGAGAGAAAAAAATTCTGATCTTTTTTATTGGTTCTTGACTTGTTGTTTTCATACAGTGCATGTGTGAGACTCAGCCAACGTGTAGTGCTTCTTTTTGTTTCCACCCMCCTCCGTGTCTGTGTGCGTGCCATGTCACGTCACGAGTTCTCGTTTGTGGGGGCCTATTTGTGTGCAGCATCATGTTTCAGCCGAACACGCGCGAGTAAAAGCTCCACGTCGAGAGCATGCTATCTCTCTCTCTCTCTCTCTCTCTCTCTCTCTCTCTCTCTCTCTCTCTCTCGAGCACACAATGCGTGCGTTTTTTTCGGTGTTTGAATTTGCGTGTGCACTCTGTGAGGGTCTTTGTGCAAAAACACAGACGCAGGAGAGTAGTCTGCCAATTATGTATATTGAGTTTCGCTTCTGCTCACTTTACCTAAGTGCTCCAATTTGGCAGATGCACATAAACAGATGATCTATTGAGGAGAGAGGGAGCTAAACAAGGTAAAATGGGCGAGTGGATTGGAGAGACAATAGAGACAACGAGTTATTCTTCGGTTTGAATTTGCACTGAATGGAGGAACTACCCAGATTTTAGGTCTCTTTTTTTAGGTTGTCTGTACAAACTTTGTGGGKTTTTTTTTCCCCAAGATATGGCATTGAGATGATTCTTTTCACTTTCCAGACAATGAATATTAAAATATATTAGAATGCAAAAATTATTTATTTACTTCAACATGCTTACAGACTATCCTACAGTGTGTCAAAGTTTGTTTTTGATGCCCCGTGTGGTTTTTGTGTTGAATACACTGCAAAAATTAGCCATCTGAAAATAAGTAAAAAATATTACTAAATTATAGTCTAAATATTCTCAAATTAAGCGACATGATCTGTCAGTGCAGGATGACAATTGCACTTGATAAGACTTTTTGAAATAAGAAACATTTTCTAGGCTAACAAGATTAATAATCTAACACATTCTGCTCTTGTTTAGTAATCGTCTTAGGGGGGTGGGGGGTGTTATGTATTTTTCAGGCTCATAGTTCAATTCTATTCCATAATCAAGTAACTATGTTACCTTCAGTTGTTATAAAACAGCTGTGTATATCAATAATAATTTTGACTTTGCATCATAGTCTATTTAAACACCTTGAAATTGGCCTGTTGTCTCTTTAGGAACTTACCGTTTCTGACACTCCCACTTCAGCAAGTCTTCACAACAATGCTTTGGGAGAGGTGTGTCTTTGGGGTGGGAGCTCCGCTGCACACTGAGCTCCAGGGAGGAGCTAGGTACTAATAGGCAGTGCTTTGTATCAGCAAGCTTTTATACAGCTCCACATGTCTACCACAGGGGATTCAAGGATTTCTCAAACACGCAGGAATGAGTCAAAGCAAGACTCTGGGTATATTTTTGATGAGGGAATGGCATTAGAACACGATTTAAAGTTCAAAATAGTTATTTTTTCATAATACCCCCACTTTAAAACAAGATAAAAAATTGTTTTGGATGCATATAAGATTGCAAGACTTGGTTAGAAGGACAATTTTTGTAGTGTACCAAAATAAACAAAGCAAATATATATATATATATATATATATATATATATATATATATATATATGTGTGTGTGTGTGTACTGTGTTTGTGAAGTTATAAATGGGGAAAAAAAGAAATCCTCCTACCTTGTGCAGGGAGAAAGTGCGGACACAGAAAGTGGCCAGCTCTATGGTGTCCAGCAGGGTCACTTGCGTCATGCCGTAGGTTTCTGTGCCACGGCTGGGCCAGTACTGGTCACACTTAATCTGAGAAAGGGCGAGCGGATGAAGACAGGCAGAGGAGCAGACGGAGGTGTTAGTGTCGACGTGTCACATTCTATCAAATAGTTCCTCAGCTAACGATCAACATCACAGGAAAACTAGGTGGTGCAAAAAAATCTAAAATGACAGCACAAAGGGCAACGTTCGCATGGCCCTCATAAAGCAAACCCTCGTGGGGACGTTATGACAGAAACACCATGGTGCCTTTCTAACGCACTTTTGAGACACAACGCTAACGCACACAGAGCAGCTATGACTGCAGCAACTCCTCTCCAACAGTTTAATCATTTGCTTTCCTGTTTTATTTCATTATTTCTCTTTATTTTTTGTAAATCTTCCAAACTACCCATCAGGAACATAAAGTGCATGCTTTTAAAACCAAGCGGGGGAAAAAAATGACTGCATGTGATGACTTTCATCATCATTTTGTTTGGATCGTGGCGTTCCACCTAAAGCTTGATAAAATGTAGGATTCATTTCGGAACAAATCCTGGTCAGGTTTCTTCTCATGGCTGTGAGCATTACTGGTATTTTCTGATCCAGTGGGAGTATAGTATATCTGAAACCACAACACCTGTTCCTCTTTCCAACAGGCCACCTAATAAAGATTCATTCAGTTTAGGGAGTGATGCACTGGTGGACATTTGATGAAATGTGACAGCCAGTGAAGGAGACRCGCTTCTCTCCAGCTTTCCCTCCCATTTCCCACTGAAGCTGACACTCAAGTTCCACCGCTCGCTAATCCTGATCACGTTTGACAGGAGGGGGAACGCGCATGTCAGGACAGAGGTAGGTAAACAGCTGAAGAGGGACAGAAGGAGGGGAAGAATGAGCTGAGATAACTGGGGTGAGGGAGGTGGATGTTGACACTTGTTTGACCTGACAGCAGAAGACATCACAGTTGGCTTTTTGACATTTCAACCACGCCTTTACAGAACTAGATACAACTRTAGACTCAGTAGAATACAAAAAAAGAATCTTCTGTGGAATTTTCACTTCTACCTAAATGTATTTGATTGAGGTGAGGTGTAAATTAAACAAATTTGTACTCAGTTTATTTTTCAGAGCATGAAAATATCTTTTTATAATTAAAGTTACAACAAACCTGGTAAATAAGTGTTGTGGTTAAAAGAAAAAAAATCAATATCCTTACTATGAAACATCTAATGCATGCCAGACATTTCTCCCTGGCAGTTTTTCCTCCAACTTCCACCATCAACAGATGGTTGTGGGAGGTTTCAGTCCCAGATTCTGCTTAAGATGCCAGGACAATCATTTGCTTCAAATGTAATTTTCATTTCCTACACTGTGGCCATTTGAGTGAAGCAGCTTGGTGTCCTATAAGAGCTATAGGGAACATGCAATAACTTTTTTGTTTCCACGGTATAGAAAGAAAACTGAGCCAAATCTAAACTTTTTTTACTCTGCAAGATCCGGCCCGCCTGGCTTCAAACCCGGGTTCAGTGTGTTTGTATTAGCCCTTATGATCCAGGCTTGCCTTGATTTCTGGAACTCCAAGTCCCGTGGTTCTATCCAAGCTGGGCTGCTTGGCCCATTTTGAYGTCAGCAACCTGACTGGTTCACTGACCAGCAGTGACATTACACACATAAGAGTAACTTTACATGAATCATCTGCAGAAAGCTGCCTCGATGTGGGCGGGATTATAATATTAAACATGCACAAATCTTATTTAGTTTTATTTGAAAAACAACAACATTGGCCTACATTCAATTCAAAGAAAAAGTACCAGAGATTGGACCRGACCATCCAGCAGTATGACGCTTAAGAGCAGAGGATGACAGAAAACAGTAAGCTAATGGTAGCTTTCTGTTGTTTGGCAGCTTGCTAGTGATGTTGTGCAGTTATACTTGTGTGAAAAAAAAATTGTCAGTTGCAGCAAGTGATTCAGGTAAAGTTACTTTCATCTGTGTGACRTACAGGGGTTAGACAATGAAACCAAAACACCTGGTTTTAGACCAYAACATCCCTTTCAGACAGCTTCCTCTTGCATCCACAKTTAATCCTGTTGGATGTGGTTGGTCCTTCTTGGTGGTATGCTGACATYACCCTGGATACTGTGGCTCTTGATAYGTCACAAAGACTTGSTGTYTTGGTCACAGATGCAYCAGCARGAGGTGCACCAACAYTTTGTCCTCTTTTGAACTCTGGTATGTCACCCATAATGTTGTGTGCATTGCAATATTTTGAGCAAAACTGTGCTCTTACCCTGCTAAATGACCCTTCACACTCTGCTCTTACTGGTGCAATGTGCAATTAATGAAGACTGGTCACCAGACTGGTCCAGTTTAACTATGAAACCTCCCACACCAAAATGACAGCTGTTTCAGTTTCATTGTCTAACCCCTGTAACTTCTAATCAATGAGCAACAGTAGCTGACGTCAAATTGGGCCAAACAGCAGAGAGAACCACAGGCCTAGGGGTTCAAGAAATTGAGGTGGAACTGGCCCTGAGGGCTAATTCAAACACGCTAAACCTGGGTTTGAAGGGTGTAACTTGCAGTGCAAAAAGGTCTTTATTGTTGAGGCTATAAGAGGTTTTAAAAGAACACAGCCATTAGAAGTAGAGAGTAGATCAGTACCCGAGACTTCTCTTCCAGCCTGGTCATCATGACAACAGTTGCTGTTCTCTGTTCCCACACCATCCTCCAGAAGTCCCCAAACGTTTCTGGTAATGGACCTTGGGTGGCGATGTAGGCATTCTGCTTCCTGTAGCCATCAATGTARTTGGCGTTGATGTAGTCACTACCTGTTATACCTACAAAACCACAACAAAAAAAGGAAGAGAGATTTTAAAAGGAGAAGTGACTCTTCTGAAGGGGTTAATGTTTCCATGCCTAATGTATTAAGCTATTTTTACATTTTTCTTTAGGGCCTTATTAACACCTCTAGTTTTATGCTAGCTGCTACAATCCCTCCGAGCTTTCACACACAATGACAGTTTCTAAACCACGTGTGAAAATATTGAAGAAAAAGTTGACTGAAAAAAAAAAAGCAAAATGACATAAAAACACTTTTAAAAAGTGAGTGTCAAAAATATTAAAGGGGCTATATCATGTAAAATCAACTTTTTTGAGTTTTATATCATGTTATACTCTCATAAAAAACATGCCCAAAGCCTTGCTCTGACTCAATCATGCATGTTTGAGAAATCCTGCAGCATTTTTAGGCAGCCATGCTGAGGAGCAAAACGACAGGTGGGGACCAGAAACGCTGCTGGGATGTGTCTTTAAGCCGAGCATCCTCATGACAGAGCGCCCCCCTCCCCTCCCCACACACCGCCCATGACTCCTGCAGGCTCTTGGGTGAAACTGAAAGTGAAACTGTCTGCTGAGCTCCTAACACTAGGCTAGTTCTCACTCAGTGAAGCTCTTTTCAGATTCAAAATACCTTTGAGGAAATGTATTTTCAGATGCCAAGTAAACTACATCATAGCCAATTAGGTATATTTACATAAATGTACTTCATAATATACCTCATTGATCATAGCAGCCCCCACCCTGAAATGGGCGAGACAGAAGCGGAAGGAGGTTCTTAAAGAGACAGAGGCCAATTTCAAGATGTTTAGAAGAGGAAGTGATGAGAAGGTAAGTTTATTTTCTATTTAAACATAAAAACAGCATTTTAATAACAGCTAAAGGTGACATAGATACTTTATTATGGTTTGGTATTTAAATGTRTGTGTGGGAAACACATAATATTGGCCCTTTAAGATCTCTCTCACAATCTTTCAGATAATTCTTTTATTCTGCAAAATCTAAAACAGATGCCTTCTTCTATTTAAAGCTCCTAACTTTCGTATTCCTTTTGTCTACCTCTGTTGTGTTTGGGTTTCCATAGGACTGGTGTAGAARTCTGTGCCTGATGTAACACTAAAGAGCAAAAGCTGATCAGAGGAGTAAATCAGCCACTCAAYGATGGCGTCAAAACCAATTCCAGCACTTTCAGAATGCCAGGTTTTCTCTACCTGCACAAGAGGCTGTAACGGTTTAGAGCCAATGATGATACGYATCTGTGATAGCTCTGATAAACATTTCGCATTCCCTGATCGTCCACCTCAAAATTGAAAGCATAGTGCGGGATCACAACAGATTCAGCCATTTAAACTTGTTCGACCAAAAAAAAAAAAGGTTTAAACAAGGACGAGATAATCTTCTGATTAGAGTTCTTCTAACACAGAGCAGCTGACAATGATAAGACAGAACACCACCAATCTTTGTTCGGCCCGGCTTCCACGGCGCCTGCGTTGGGAGAGGAGTCACTTCTGTTTGACTGACGTCTCCTCACTCAAGCAGCAAACAATAAAACACTTGAATGAGCTAATTTAAAAGATGAGACTCAGCGCGGACAACAGCCAGGGTGGAGAGAAGGAGCTCAATAACAAAAAATAAATAAATAAATAAAAACCCTGAGATGGCACAGGGATGCAAACAGAGGGAAGATTAAAGAGAGGACAAAAACAAAAACATGAATGTAAATAAGGCAAAAAATGAAGAAAAACGTAATAAAAATAATACAACATTGCATAATTTGATTGTGGCGCTTTGGCTTTAGTCATAGCTAAGTGAACAGAGAATGGCAGCGTGCATGAATCGTTCTGCTGCTGCGACTAATAGCAAAATCACTGCAGTGTAAAATAGAAATTTCAGACTTGATTAATTTATGCATTTATGGACGAGGCATTCTTCTTTTTTCTTTGGGATAATTTTGCTTTGCATTCTGTTGCTCTGTCAWTTTGGCCTGGCTGCTCTGTAATGTAGAAATCCTGCCCGAGCTCCCACAAACAAACAAACAGAGATGTAAAAAAAAAAGACAAAATGTCTTCTGGAGTAGAGAGTTTGGCATCACTGCGAAGAGTTGAGAGCTCTTCTGGTGATGCAGAGCAAGAACAATGTCAGCGGTGAAGGGTGAGTACCTCCGACAGTGTCCTTTGGGATTTAGGAATGGGAGGAAGAGATTCTTTTGGCTCTGAGATTCTCGGTGCTCAGTGTCTATGGCCAGTTAGAAGGAAGTCAGGAGCAAAGGGGAGATCTGATGAGACAAATGGGATGTTGCGAACGCTGCTTTAAGTCCTGGATCCCAGCTGAGTGTGAGAAAAGTGAGTGCTGTGCACCATGATGAGCTGAAACAAGTCCCCGCTTCAACCCGTAAATAACTCGGTTGYGTAAACTGTAGCTGTAACAAAAGCACGTCGAGACGAAACACGTCTCCAAAACAAAAGCGGTTCCACACATTTGCTGATTGATTTACCTAATTCTCAACTCACAAATTATTAATGATTTCCCTTGACTTCAGTTCTAATTTACTTTATGCGACAAAACTTACATAATTATTTTGCTTACATTTCAGCACCTAGAGCACATGTGTCAAATACAAGGCCCGTGGGCCAAGTGTGACCCGCGGGTGACTCCAGTGTGGCCCCAATTTTTAATTTTTTTTACTTAGCATGGAATTTGTTTCTTTTATCAATGGTAAACTTTAAATTTATGATTAAATGCAACAAAATAAATTTAATAAAAATAAATGAAATAAAAATAGATTTAATAAATTCCTGTCTCTGAGCTGTTGGCTTTAAGTGACCGAGCAATTTAGTTGGATAGCCTAGCATTAATGTCTGAAAATAAGCTGCTTAAAGTCAGCATCAAATAATATTTCTGTATTTGTTTCAGATTTAGTCAGTCATACACTTAGTTCTTATCAGTGTTTAAAAGAGGATGAATTAAAACACGGTTTAGTCAAAGTTAAACATGAAACGTCAAAGTTCATTACAAGTGGCCCTTCGAGGGCCACCATAACTCTCATGTGGCCCTCGGTGAAAATGAGTTTGACACCCCTGACCTAGAGAAGCTAAATTCCACTTTTTTGCACTTCTAAGGACTCCAAGTATACAACAAAATGCATTTAAAGAAAAAAAGTGTATTTGGCATATGTTCCCTTTAATTAGTACAAATCATCTGTAATGTTTATACTCATTGCTTCTACTATAAACAAATACAGTATTTCCCAAWCAATCTGCCCTGATGTTAGTTCATGTTAATAAAGGTGCAGTGTGTGGGGGTGGACCTTACCATCAATGGGAGCCAGGATCACACGGGAGTGGTCGTAGGCGATGACGTTGGCGTAACGATTTTTGGGCTTGTTCACCTCCAGGTTGGAGTGCTCCCAGGTGAACTGCTGGCCCGGATCAATAGACTGATGGGAGGCAGAGACAGCCACAACATGCACACATGAAGAAGCAATCAGAGGAGCCGTGAGGGGAGCAGAGCTGCAATAATACTGCTCCGGCGTTAGCAAGAGGGGAGAGGCACCGAGACAATGATTTCACTTAAAGAAAAAAGGAACAGGCTATCTGGAACATCTGCTTTAAATAYGGCAGCTGCTAATGTAGCAGGTGCGCAGTGAAAGATAGCACTATTGATCAAGGAAGCAACTCTCTCCCTATGATAGGTGGAGTGTGGAACAAGGCTGGACAATCWGTGAAACACAAATTAGGGAGCCTTCTTTAAAATACAATAATTTGCGATAAATCTTATGGGCTCCTTTCAGAATAATTAAGCATCTCATTAGCCCTGGTTTGCCTGGGAATTTGGCTCTCAGTTGTTGTGGAGATCCAGGCTTAACTGATATTTACAACYGGGGCCGGATGGGAAATTGAACCTACTTTACCACACAATCTGCGTGTAATCATACCAATGAGATATTTCTTTTTGGTTCAGACTCAGCAGGGTTTTTTTCTCCCCCTCCTTCTTTCCGTTTTCTCTTTCTTTTCCTCTGTCCTGTTTTTTTTTTATCACGATCTCATCTTTAAAGTCTTTCCATTTTTGTCCTGTTTATCCTTTTGATCTTCCCTCTCCTCTCTGATGTTTACACCCCTTTTCTGTTTAATGGTCCTCCGTCGACTCTCCTGCTATCTTTAGTCTTTCTAAATTATCTTTAAGCTTAAGTGAGTGTGCATTTGTGAACAGAAAAAGGATTATATTTTTTTCTGAAAAAAAAAATCCCTTATAAAATTAAATACAAAACACAGTTCATAAAAGGTATCTATTTAAAACTATGCTATTCATTGAAATATTTTCCAGTTCCCTCTGTATTTTWCCTATCTTTCCCTTATGGTCGGTGATGATATGTTTGAAAACTACAAAGCCCCTGCCAAGAAGACGGTGCTTGCACTGCATACTTTACTTCCTGCCTGCCTGATAGTATCCTCAGCATCGTCAGGTAAAAATCTGGTTGTCTCTTTGTTGCCGTTTGTGCTGCAGATTATCTCCTCCTCATCTCCATTCCCCTGCTGTGATGCCCTGCTCCATCTCCTCTCAGTGAATCTTCATCATTAACAGAGCCTCTCCACCTCATCTCTCTCTCTCTTTCTCTCTCTCTCTCTCTCTCTCTCTCTCTCTCTCTCTCTCTCTCTCCCTCCCTCCCTCTCCTCGCACACATACTGCCTGGCTAAAAACCAATCAGTCAAAGCCCCACAGAGCTGCGCTTGGCAAGCCGGGGCGCCGGGACGAACAGCCATTCATCAAGAAAATAACAAAATTAAAATTACACTTCTCTATTTAATTCGGTCATTTATTTTTCCAGGTTGGAGGGGTGTGGTTGTGTAACGGGGTTACAGAGAGAAGGGGTGGGGGGGGGAACACACACACGAGAAATTAGTAGGTGTTTTAAGGCTCTCTGAAAGCCAAGCCGTTTAGAAGTTGTTACTCTGGCGTTACGTCTCTCTGCCCCACCCGAAGGAACAAACGTATCCATTTGGTGTACGGTTCAGATGTGAATCCCTGAATAATAGATAACCAGGAAATACTAGATTGCTATGTGAAGTCATTATCTGCCGACATCCACCGGCAGCCATGATGACGGCAATCTGTGCCGGTATACCCACTTTCTACTTTCGGCTGGCGAGCCGCGAGGCGACAGGCTCGGTGATTTAGGGACGAAGAGAGGGGAATATTGCTTGTATGCAAACGAGAGCTGATTCAGCGCTCCTGATTTCTAATCAACTCTGGTGTCATTTATAACCGCGGCGGACTCAGAGCTCAGACAGCTCAGTTACCCCCTCCTCACACACACACACACACACACACACACACACACAC